ATTTAGCTCTACTCTTCAAAATTTCTTTATATATATGTATAGATTTTTATTTTATTTATTTTCTTAGCCTTTTTGCAATATTCTCTTTAAGCGAAGTAATGCGAAATAAGATATACGGAGCGTACGGTGCTTGTTGTCCTTTTATACCAACAAGAGTCACTAACATGTTTCCCTATCTTCTTCTGGGCAGGTGGCCGTACAGAAGACATTCCAACTAGAGATGCTACCACCGACAGGAAATAGCTTACAGCCCAAAAATTTAAGTAAGCATTTCTATATTTTCGTAAAACATTGTTGGCACCAGCGAATGAATTTCAGCGAAAAAGTACGATGTTACAGCCCAAAACTCTCAGTAATCCGTAACGTTCTTTCAATTGTCCTTAAAACATCCCTCGACAAACCTGTTTGCAACTGTAATAATAGCGCAAATGTAATAACACTGTAATAATAATAAGTATCGCTCTAAACCACCTGTCTATATTTGCTAGGTAGAAACAATCTTAATTCGGTAATCGCTTGCTCATCGTCTCCTTTTCGTATATTAATTTTATTATTCATTCTTTATCTAGGTGAAATTCAGCAAACCGTAAAGGTTACGCCACCAGTGAATGGAACAGGCTCTAAGCTTCGAATGCGACTACGACTGAGTTACATACGAGGGTCCGGCGTGGAAAAGACCACGCAACAAGGCGAAGTGAACAACTTCCCGGGACTCTGGTAACAATCGCCGCTGATGAAAATTGCAAATACCGAGCAAGCCGTAGCGACGTCAGCTTCGACTCCGGTTCAGCCGATTCTCGCTCGCTACGATATGGGTCGATTTTTGTGATCGCAGTAACCCTAACGCAATTAAGAAGATCATCGATGCACAGCAGGCGACACAGTCATACTATTAGATCATCGTATAAGAGTTCCAGCTGTAAGCTATATCATTGCAGAAAGAGGAAAAAGAAAACGAAGACGAAACAAGCTGTGCTTATTTACTAAATGTACAACATATTTTATCTTTTAAAAGATGTATACATATATATGAAGGGAAAAAATATATAAATGCATACATTCAGCTGGTTGGTGAAATGGACACGTTATTAATAGAAGCTTTGGACAAAGTAGTGTACGCTAATGCGACTAGTGGTATACAAGAACCGGAAATGATGAGGTTCAGCGCAATAAACAAGAAACAAAAAAAGCATACGTTTATTGCAAAAGCCCTGACCAGTGAGTTACGAGGAGCAGCCTGGGATCAACGTTGCGCTATCGAAGTCGCCCAGGGTTGAATTGCGCAGTGAATTAATTATTATGTCAGCGAGGAGGCCTGTTAAGTCGAATCTATAAAGGCTACTTTAGCTGGAGCTGATATCATTTCATACGTAAAACGTACGAAGCCAATCGGAGAAACATAGTACAGTTCAGAAACATTATGGAAAATGAAAAGAAGCAAAAAGACGAATGTGGGCCGGGTACAGAGCACTTCATATGCAACATTAGTCGAATATGGAAGAGTTAATGATAGCATCGTGTTATAATTATTAATTTATTAATCATATATGTTTTTAGACATCTTGAAAGACAGGTGCCGATAGGCAAAATAGTTGCCAACAGCTTACATGTGAACCCTCGCGTCAGTGATATGACAGTGCAGTCAAAGCCATTCAACTGCCGATCCAAACAAACTACGAATATAAATGGAATAAAGAATTTATTGAAGGGTGTAGTTCCTGACCTATTATTATTATTTCTGGGCAAATCGAGTCAGTGTTTCTGTACACGGTGAAGAACTAAAGAAGATAACGCGGACTAAGATAAATTGAAATTTGTCGGATTTTCAAACCGTTATACACTAACCGTTATCATGAATTTAATTATCTCATTATATTTATCAGTGAACTGAGATGTACATGATAGTGCATAATAAGATCACGTACAAGGCGCAATCTCCTCAACTAATTACTAATTGACGAAATGGAAGGTGACATGAGAAATGCATTTGTCTGTTTCTTTACTATTAGCAAACGGCTCATTTGGGTTGAGTAAGTACAAGAATGTTTTGTTTAGAGTTTTTAGGTTGTTTGTGGACTGACACAGCATAGACAATTGGCCTCTAAGATGTGTTACTTAAACAATAGACTTATTTCAGTGAGTTGTATAATTATAACCGCAAATTTATTCGGCAAAAGCGGCAGAGTCACAGAGACAAACATACGAAGAGAACGGCTAATGTCAGTTAGTAGCCGTGAGGCGACCGTTTAGCGCAGAATGCAGATCTGTATAAATCACGACAATATTAGGGCAACTGCGGTAGAACTACGCTGAATTGCGGACCGGAATATTGTTTGGAACGAAAATAGAAGTGATTAGCGGGCTAGCTTTGTCAGTAGAAAAAGAGGTGTCTATGTAAAATGAGTGCAGAGACTAATATATGACACATGCAACGTGATATAAGCTATGTTTGTTGTGCCGCAAGAAGATTAGCATATGCAGAATTTCTACTGTGGAGGCTATTCTATAGGGATATTTATCCTTCAAACATCCGTTGCAGACTGGATAGACTGCGCGCTTACATGATTTGTATAAATAATTTACGGGGTAGGACTGAAATCACACAATGTTCTTGGAAAATCGAACTATCGCAGCAAGCAGCGAATCCCAAGGAGTGAGAAATATCGGAAACGCAAATTTTTGAACGTTCGCAAAAACCTTCGATTATTAATATTTATGTAACCGTGTGTGGGTACGCAGATTGAGTGAAAAAAAAAGTTATTTAGAGTGTAATTAAGATTAGAGCAGAATCAAATAGCTAATGAGTGTGAAAGACTAACAAGCAATGGAATAGGAGGTGGAGGGAAACTAATTATATGAATATAGATGACTGTCAGTTTATCATTATTTGTGAAAGTGACATATATATGTAAAAAAAAAAATTACGTAACAGGCAAAAATCCACACAAAAATCGAGAAAACGGATTCCGAGAGGCGAGCAAGTAGAGAACTGTGAAAATTAATTTCAGAGAATTATCATTAATTTATAAATCTAAAGGTCACGATGACAGAGACAAATTAACTATCTGAATATTATTGATGATATTAGCAAATCAAAAAGAGAAAGACAGTTACAAATAAAGAATGAGTCTGAAACAAAGGGAGTAGACAGCCAATTTGCAAGAAACGTGAGAAATCCTTATCGAATTAGATTGTTTAGCTCGTTATAGATAGATTATTGTTAATTATGACTAAGTGTAGTGTTTGACCGAGAGGGATCATTTCTGCGATATGGCAGACAAATACTACGTTCCTGAAAAGAAAACATCGATGAATCGCGAATTAAGTTGCCGAAAACCGAAAACCAGTACATCATAGAGGTTTCAATGTTGAAACTGATTGTGCTTTAACCGAAAAGCACATGGAAAACTCTACAGGTGCTTGCTCATAACCTAATATTTTAAAGGTCCGTGCAAAAAAGACAAGTCCGTGCCTAAAATTAACTAAACAAGGGTGGAGACTCATAGATTTTTTAGCTGTTGAGACGTGTGGGGACAAAGAGTTGTAGAGAAAAATAAAGATGATCGTTCCTCCGCTTTTAAAAATGAACATTGGTGACTCTTAGGAAGGAAAATGTGTCGTAACAAAGAACAAATTATCGCATTATTGTTGTTACGTGTAAATATTGTGGTAGCGTTTTGAAAAGTAGTTTTTTTCTGCTAGAAGGAAAACATTTCCAGCTCAAGTTGAGATTATAGTTACGCCTCTCTTCACATTTCACTCAATGCAGCTTCTTTATTATTATAATTATTACTACATACTTTTTTGTTTTCATAACTGTACTATTTTGCTTAATACCACTATTGCCGCCTCGTACTTTTTTGTCACGCATATTAAAATTCTTCTCAACACAATCGATAAACTGTACACCCACAGACCATCACTCTATACGACACAACCCATGTAATAATCTTGTCCTGGTCTCACCCCGTCATATATGTTTGCTCTACACGCTTTTTGTAATTAATTATACTACCAGTATTATAAGCATTATTTTACATCGTCGGATGTTTTCATCTTCTTCTTCTCGGATGGTCCCGTTTCGTCGGTACTACTTGTCTCTGTACTTACAGCATTCCCAGCTGTAATACCGTGGCTTCCGCTGGCAGAACCGCCATGGTCAGCTGGACATTCCGTACTGCTCGCCCCAATATTAGCGCCAGTTGTTGTTGCGCTCTTTTTAGTAATGTATTTGAGAACGAAGCTTGCCCGCACCATATCTTTACCTGGAGCGACACTCCGTACAAAGTGCGCCTTATCCTCGTCCAGTTGGAAGGGTAACGCTACCCCCAGCTTGACGCCGAGGTGCTTCCGTACTAACGACCATGTCGTAGCCGTTCGCTTGCAATCTGAACGAACGAAACAGTAGCAATGAATTTTCAGTACACATCCCGCTGGCAATTTAAGAGTTGGAAACACATCGAGAAATTCGAGCGCCACCGCCGGCAAATTCATTGTAATGTGGATATCCTGGCCTAAATAAAGTGCTGCCTTCGAGACGAGAACCTGCCGAAGGAACTCACGCCCGTCAAGTTTGAATGCCTCGACCCTATGTTCGATCTTGTTTCGCTTGAGATTTTTGACGAGATACTCGTAGCTATCTGGATTAAGGTCGTTCGCATAGATGGTGCAACCTTTCTTTGCCGCTGGCATCGTGAACGGCCCCACGCCGGCAAACACGTCGAATAAGATACTGTTTCTACTTAACAGTTTCGTAATACGGTCATGCTCTGTCGACAGACGCGGATTCCAGTACACCTTTGAAAAGTCGAATTCGTACACGCAACCATTCTCTTTGACCCGAGCTATCGTACTGCCTTCGCCAGCCAGTATTTCAAAATTGAAATTCCGAAACTCGTTCTGTATCTCGGCCGTCTTATTCACTACAATCTGTATGTTTTTCGTTTTGTCAAGCAGAACTTGGCCAATAACCTTCTTGTATGGGAGGAGGTGCTCACGCAAATTCAAATGGAGAATATGACCAACGATACTGAAGCCAGCTCCACCAGTTCCGCCTGTCGCCTTACTAAGGACTTTTTTTAGGATGACGTCAGCAGGAAAATTGTCATAGCCAAGATCAATTTCTGTCGGTTGAATTTCGTATTGTCGAATGATATGGTCGTTGAGTTTTTCCGAATCGAATATGATCCTTCGTCCACCGTCGGGCAGTTCCTGAACGGGCTTGAAGTTTGCTACCTTGAGGAAAAGCTGTTTCATTTTTTCGAGGATATCATTGAATGACGATGGGTCCGTCACTGTTGTACAGGGTACGGAGAACTTAGCGTTGAATTTATCGCGATCCAGCTCCGTCATACCGATGACGGCATCTGGAGGAGAAATTTTTTTGTACATTTTCGACGGGGGTAGAGACCGGCAGGCGCGAAACATCTAGATATAGCAAACACACAGAATATGATGCAAATGAGAATTTACAGAACACTGCAACGAAAACTACCCGCTTCTGCAAAAGTTAATGAAGTCAGACTGCGTGGCTGCTGAGAAAGTGGCTTAAAGTGTCGAGCTATTTAAACAGCACATTTGAGGCACACACAATTGAACACAATTCGGTACAAATAGACGCGAACTATGAGCACAACAAACGCAGCAGCAGAAATTTGTGACAGCGTCGTTGATGGCTACTCCGTTTAATCATCGTCTGAGTCTTCGACAGACTGTGGTTGCACCTTAGAAATTGCTTGAGCAAGGGCCACGTTTATATCTTTGTTTGCTTGGAGTCGTTCCCGAACCAGCTCAGCTATGGCACGCTTCGTGCGACGTTCGAGCTTATCCAGCTGCTTGGCAATACCCCGCTTTAGATCCCAATCAGGCTTGTGACTCTGAAGGGTGCTGATGTTGATATCTTTATCGAGGATATTGTCTGCAGCGACAACAGCCAGGTTTTCCTTTACCTACAACAGCCGCACAAAATGAACCAGATAAATACATTAATTCTGAGACAACTGGCATCATATATAATAATAACATAAAGGAGCAAATACAGACAGTCGGAAAGTATATGTACAGGCATCAGGTGAGTAGGCATCCAATTAACTATCAGCAATAAGAAATATACCAGCCGCAACAGGCTAGCTTAGCAGTGCTCTCCTATGTTAGAAAAAAGCTAACTCAATTCGCCATTATTAGGCCAAAGCATATCACCTTTGGTAGAAACATTGCTATAGTGCACAGTATTATTGAAAGCTAAAATACTTTCGAAAAAATTAATGTTCTAAATTGTCTTGACACACACCATACTAATAGATTATTTAAGAAGTTAAATCAACAGCTATTAAAGCAATTATTGGATTTATTCTAGATTACATATATTAGTTTTGACGCTTTCTAGACGATTTTTGCAAATTGCGGGTGGAGACCGGGGCTAAAGTAGTCCATTCAGCGTTCGCATTAGAAATTACTTAAACAAATCAATGGGACGATACAACGGATTACAAGACATGTATCCTACAATTAGATTCTTTCTACCTTTCGTTTGTTCTAATGTGGTTGTTTTCACCACACATTGAGATTAACGTTGAGTTTCAAGTAAAGCAAACTATACAATTGCGCTAGTTCTACCTATAATCCGTCAATCAACAAACACATGAATCTAGCTAATAATTAAAAAAACGACCGTTCGTTCATTAGAAGTAGAAAAAAGTTCCCAAAGAATATTAATTACAATTGTTATTCTGCCAGCGCGAATAATGTGCTATTAAACACTGTGTAGGCTTAAAATTTAAGTAATATGCTGGAGCCAACTAACTCGCGGGCAGCCATACATCAAATACGCTGCTGCGTACGTAGCAAAACAAGCCGAACTAATTCAACTGATTTAATTGTTGCTTAATGGTTTTTGCCTGGGTGAATCATACCGAGACCCGACCTTTTACATCGTTTACTCATACGCGTAAATTTAAGTATCTGCGCTGTTCTTGCCATCACCCACACAAAACAAAGTAAGAATCTCACCAATCATAAATTATAATGAAATAATGATAACATTGATGATGATACGTAAATACACAACATAACGTCTAAATAGTATCAACAACAACAACCGGTTTTGAATGTAGCATACTCTGTTATGTAACCGTACGGGCACCACGCAGCTATGCTGCCGCCAACGACCGTCACATCTACATTTAGATCATCATCTATAATTTGTCATTTCGATGATCAAATGCTGCTACTTTTGCCAAATCGAAGTTCGATATGTGCCAGTCTAAGTGCAAAAAGCCTTGTATCGGTCACTACTAGCACCACTGTAACCGTTACTGATCACCACCAACTTTTGCTTCGTTACAAACGGTATCGTCACGGCCTACCTGCTGATCGATATTTTCCGGCTGGCTATCAGGCAGCTCGAACTTTTTGAGCCAGTCGTCGGCGGGTCGGTACGTTCGGAAGACGGGTTTTGGCAAGGATACCGATCCGCCCAGCTTGTTGCCTCCTACAATAGGTTTCCCGCCTGATTTCAGCTGATCTTTAGTACCGTCGCTTGTGATAACAGCTTCGGTTTCTTCGTTTTCGATCTCCCTGTACTTCCCGTCGGCAAGTTTTCGCTTACGCTGCTCCCGTAACGCCTTCAGCCGCTCCTTGCGTTTCAACGAGTTCTCTGCGCCCCGACCGATATTCTGTTCTCCTGGAGTAGGTGCCAACGCAGCTGTTTGTGCCAGGTCCAGGTCGTCGCGCGACTCCATTCCTCCTCGTGTGTTCGAAAGTATGCTGGCGTATTGTCCCCTACCCGATGGGTTGTGTTTGGGTACAAGACACACATACACACCCATATATACATAGAAGACCTAGCATTCATCGGCCATGATGATCTTTGCTTGTTGCAGGCAGTGCGGGATAAGTGAAGCGGGCGGCCGGGATGTTAAATAAACAGGAGTCAGGTTAATTTTTCTATGTATTGTATTTTCTGCGTTTTGATGGGTATATGGCCTAATCGGATATATTGAGTTGAATAATAACAAAAGGAGTAAAGAGGTGTTAATATAATAGTCTTCAGTGATGTCTTGTTCCATTAAGAGTGCTTAATAGCCCACTTACGACGGCAGTGCACAAATTCGTCTAATAAGTACGCTCAGGCGTACAAACGAAACGGATGAAGGATAATAAAAGAAGTGAACGAACTATTTTCGATGCCTCACCTCTTATCAGAGTCAATGGTTCAGTTTCGGATGCAACCGAATCCGTATGGGAAAATGGGTATCAATGGCTATGCTCTTGCAAACCAAGAGACAGTATCGTGCCCAGTTAGTCAGAACTTGTATTTCATCCTTGTTTCTTTTTATCGAGTGCGTCTAGTTTAGTGCTGGTAAAGATTCTGGTATCCTTTTGGATTCTTGCGACATATCCAATGCAGCCAAGATGTCGCGACGCTCCAGCATCTCAGGGCTCCAGGTTTAGCCTGTCGAAAAAGATGTTTTACTTATATCTTACTTAGGAACCATTGTGGTTGTGAAGTAAGAACATTTTGAAATACATGTCATAATCGGCTCATCAACCCTACCTGTCAAACCGATAATATCCAAAAATTAAAATCTTACTCACAGGAGAAAATTTTTAATTTTTTTATCCTATTTAAGATGATCAAAAAGAATGCATAACAATCTACAGCTCATCAAATCATGACACTAAGGGTTCGTCAGAGAAAATTGGATCAATATGAGCAAATATAGTATACTTGAAAATTATATGGCCTTGTGGTTTTGACTGTATCGTAATACATAATGGCTTTACACTAGGTTACTTTTAATATGTGTGAAATTCATTTTATGTTGAGCACGGATCTATCTAGACTACACACAGCATGGAAAACAGAAGGGGGAAAAGTAAACGCATTGGACAAGGACTTAGGAAACTAACTACCCAAGCAATTTCCTGAGACATGGCCAGTGACGAGCCTGCAATTCAAGGAGAGAGTCTCTTACTGATTGTTATTCAAAAAGAACTTTTTATCAAATTGCTACTTCATTCTGCCGCTAAACGTTTGCTACTTCATTAAAATTTGTTATTTAAAATTGTTTATACCTATGCAAGTACTCTATGTAAACTTTTGTTCGTCGAAAACTATGTTTGAAATAAACTACTAATGTGGCCAATGCTCAACCTAAACGAAATTCTGTTATCCAATTTTAGCGGAGTGCTATCCATAGAATTGTACCAGGTCGTTTATCGCTAGTGGCACCCTTAAACGGCAATTTATAGGGCAGTTATTTAAATATAAAATCCCAGTTTAAATACAAAAGCAGTTTAAATCTTTAGCAAACGACTCGTGTTCGATTAATTTATACATTTTCATCTTATTATGCTAGAACAGCGTATTACAACACGTTAAGCCTTAGACGATTAAACCCTATAATACGTTTGATCAGTGAAGCAGGCGAATCTGATGTAAGTTTGTCTAGGCTATGAACATTTCTTTACCAAAAAAAAGGGTATTTTCATGCATAGAAAGCATTCGAGCTTCTGAAGTCCACGCTGTATAGAATATCTTATATTTTTGACTTACATTTTTAAGGAAGACATTCTAATTTGGGTTGACCACGAAACTACAAGATGACAGAGTTCTTTTTTTTAACACAGGAAAGTAAAGGACGCTAGCACAATTACGAAAGCTTACTGTAAACTGACTTAAAATTAATGGAAAACATATCTGAAATTTTTTAGGGGGCCGAAAAGCCCGCTTGGTTTCTTAGTATTTCTTCAAAATCTGCAATTGATTTTTGCAAAATAATCCTGTCCCGTTTACGCTTTATACATGCAAAATAATTTAAGCTAGTGTTTAGAAAAAGAAAACTTGCCTGTTTTGAAGCACTCCAAAACTTATTACTCTCCTGTACGATTGCGTTATTTTCTGAACACCCTACGTATATCTCAACTCGGCAAATAGTCTATAATCATAAGTGAACTTGATTGACATTAGGAAAATTCTGAAAACCAATACAGATCCTCTAAATCCCGTCTTTTCAATGTTTACCACGTAATGCCCACGGCCTCTCCACCACTGTACTAGGTTTCACCAAAAATCAATGTAAGGACATCAATCTATTTAATGTCCGTCCTTTCCTAAAACAGGATAGCTGCGTAGCGACGTATGACCCAAAAAGCTTATAAGGGTATAACAAGCATTGTGAATTTCACAAGTGGAAACGTTTGCAGTGTACGAATACTTCTGAGCCAATAGCGGATATATAAGCAGAAAAAAACGCTGCGGAGTAGTAAATTAGTCTCGGTGTTATTTATATGCAATGGAAAGTAAGAAGAAATAGTAAACTCTAGTACCAAGTGTGGCAGGGTACAAACTATTGGCTACCGCAGTACGGTCAAAATACGGTAAGCAAAATAAACAATAACAAGCTCACTATATTGGTTTCAACTTCTTGAAGCCTGATTGATTGTCCTGTTTTGTGGCCTTATAGATGCTTTTTTATCGAACTTTTTAGTACTGAGTACATATGTGCTCTGATGCATATACAATTTCAGGGCGTTTTCAATAGGCTAGCCAGCTTGTAGCAGTTTGCGGCAAAAATTGTCTGTAATTGAGTTGCTAAACATGTAATGGCTTTCTGCTGTGGATGATATTATTACGAAATATGTCTTTCTTTGTCAGTATCCTTTTATTTTTCCGTGGCATATATTTTTCATTTCGCTCGTAATAGTTTAGGTGTTCATTAAGTAGTACTAAGAGTCGTCTAAAGGAAATTGCACGAGGCACCGACTCATCAGGCCAAATTGACCGTAACCGATCAGCGCCCTTTCTTATCGCCGCGAATGTAGCCATTTTTTCTCACATTATATATACATATATATATATATATATATATATATATATATACTGGTCAGGTGTGTGCATCACTTTTCACGTCAATTTGCGACATACCTTCCCTCGACCTATTTTTAATATGATCCTTTTTTCAGCAAAAACCAATTTCCATTGATGCATTATTGCTAGTTGATCTGTTCATTAATCAATTTCAAGCTTGAGGGCGGAACTATCAACAGGTAGCGTAAACGCTTCAACTGTCGAAATGGCTACCTGCTCTGGTCAGGAAGTGGTCGGCAGATCGACGTCACAGCCGCGAGAGAATAAGCGCTTTATAGATTCATATAGACTAGGAAAAACAAATGTGGAAAATTAAATTATTTGCCATAAGCAATGCTTAGATGTGAGGTTTCATAGGAAATAGTTTCGTAAAGTTTAGATATTGTGAAAAATAAAATCAAATTTTTTTAGTTATTTATAAAGTTGGTTACTGCGGCACAAAAAGCCGCTCTTCGCGAGTCTCTAGTTGTTTCGCAAATTTTTTTCGAGTTAATTACGACGAGGTAACCAGTCAAAAACGTTGATAGCAGACGAAAACAAACAGACAACAGACGTTTCCTTTCACCCGCTGTTAAGGTGTTTGGGTTTGACAAATGCTTTTTTCTCGTCTGTGTAATTTTTCTTTCACTTTGTCATATCCATTTGAACGTAGTCACCTAAAATCACTCTGAATATGAGGACATTTGACTGCCTACTTTATATATATATATATATATATATATATATATATAGATAGGTAACTACGAGAAAGGCCAGCATATATTATATGGCTGGAAAGCTCTTACCGTTTCTATTTACTTCATTTGTTTCCTACTGGTCTTCTTTTACCTGGTGATATATCCCGTTCTTCTGAACTGAAAAGTTTTTTTTGTGATAAACTGCTAAATAGTTGTTGTTGTTACTATCGCGCATTTCTTGTACGGGTTCGTCCTTTTACAAATACATACTATTTTGCAATACGATCATCTAGACATTACCGTAAAAAAACGGTAATTAACATGAAAAAAAACAGCAAGACAATAAATTAACTTAACTTATCGAAAATAGCTAACTAAGCGATCGATAAAAGGTCAACTTTGAAGAAATTGGATTTCCTTTTTAATTGCTTTCTATTGGCTATCTAATATCACTACAGCTATTTTAATGTCAAGGATATTTTTGTGCAGTGTTGCAGGTAGCACATTTGATGAAATGTTTCATCCATTTTAAAAAAAATACGCTAAAAATCTGTCATACCAGCAACAGGCTATATAAGCCTAGAGAGCGCTTCAAAAAATCATAGGCAAAAATAATAAACATTTTTTCATTTTCATTTGTATTTTGTAAGCTAGTGTGTAGTGTCGAAAACTGTAGTGGTTGTAGAAGGTAGAGTAGTACGAGACCGGGTTTTTTTTCTACTACCCAATGGAGCATTTATAATAGCCTTAGAGAACCAGGCAATGTGAGCTGAAACTAAACTGAACTATACGTGCCTCGCGTGCTACTCTGTCAAAAAAGATCAATTAAATGCTAGACTCTTTTAGATAAAACGCTGATCCTTGATCAGTTTCAGACTAAGCTTCGGAATATTTGAATTATTCTTACTGGCGTTTAGGTTTTGGAAACATTAAATACGAGTACTAATCCTGCAGCTTCTGACGACTACGTTATGAGTCTTTGGCAACGTAACAACGTAGTAGTAACGTGTTCGGCTACTAACCTGGGAAGATGTGAGGTGGTGGAGGTTCGAAACCGCATCGTTTTGTGCTGGGAACTAGTTTTCTGAAGCAATGGTTAACGATAATAAAACCGTACGTACACACAATTATATAGCTCTACGTCAGTTTTTAATGAGTTAGTGGTATCAAGATTAGTTTAAAGGCGCAAATAAGATTTGAATGACTTAGGTGGTGCAGTTGATCGATTTGTTAATATGTTTCTGTTAAAGTAGTATACGATAGAAGCCTCTTTTAATTCCACCGAAAAACCGACCTTTTTTTTAGAGTACAAAACAGTGGGTAATCTATCTGTAATACACAACTACAAACAGATACGTATATAGTTGAAATATCATGACTTGCCCAGGCATTGTTTTTACCAGTTTGTTTTGT